AATTACCTAGGGACTGGCTCGTCTCAATTTTACTCATTTCCAAGCCGCGTAGGTTATCTTATAAAAGTTTCGGGTAATAACATGTCAGACTCGTCACATATCAATGTCGATTTTGCAAAGTTTGTTACCCTTTTATCTCTTCTCCCGAAATACGTCACGTACGGAATTTTCCTGAATTTCCTTTTTTCCGCCAATCATTGCTCCTCGAGTAACTCGCTTATTTTCCGGGGTTAATAACGGTTTCGGTTTGTTGAGGCAGCAGTAGATTAGTTGCTTGCCACCAAAAGAAATTGAGATGGAAAGCTTTTGTTAGCCGTTTGTAAAAAGGACTAAAAAGTTAAAAATAATTTAAAAAGAACGAGCTTCAACACCATGTGAAAGTTGAAAAAGGATAAAGCGGCTTGTTTTCAATCGAAATAGAATTGCTTTGAATCTTTTAGTTTTTTAGCGAAATAACAAAGCAAGTTGATGAAGGTGAACTTTATGTGCACTTCTAGACTTGGCTAAAGCCGTCCATACAGTAAGCCACATGATACTGCTATATGTATTGGAAAGTATCGGGTTTAAAGGACATATTATTGAACCGATGAAAAATGATCTTACATATACGTACCAATGTGTCAGAATAGAAAATAGAGTCAGCAATTTAAACATCAGCAGGGATCAGTTTAGGTTCCAATACTTTGAAATATATACCTATCAGATCTATACTAGCAAACCACAGCTAGGAAAATCATAAATTTTATGATGACACAGCCATATATGATATGCTATGATAATTTCGTACGTAGTAAACGGTCTCTGACTGTCGCACGCGTAGGTACCACCCGGCGGATTTCTGAGGCGGGGCCAGAATATGTGCACGTCACATGCAGACGTGTTCCCTCTCTAGAGCGCGTGTGGCGTTCCTCCTTTCCCCTGTATCCCCCTTAGCCCCACATTGCTCATGAATGTTTAAGCTTTAGGCTCGGGTATAAAAAAATTAACACGCGACCTTCTAAATTCAAATTATCATGACAGTGTCAAAAGTACCATAGCGAATGGAATATTTGACGACGAGGCAGCCTCGACATGAATTTCAACGCTTGAAATTCGGTTAGAATCAAACCCCGTATGCACCACTTCTATATGACAGTATTAGTTATGCGTTAATATTAAGATTATCTACATGACTGTCTCTAGTGATAGATGCTGGTTTGTAGGATACACAGGAAAACTAATGACTGCTCAAATTGATAAGTCTCAATATTTGAAGAGTGTAAGTTCTGACGGGTAAAGTGCCAAAAACAAATATTTTCAATTATCCATGTGAAAAGGGTCTATGTGCCATGCCTAGTAATATTGCAAAAGTAGTAAGTGCCAGCGATTCATTTAGGTGTTTATTTTCTGTCGAATAGATGGCGGTCCCTGTGCCGACATACATTTTATTAATAAAGGGTCTGTGTGCCAAAACAACGAAGCAGATTTGATTTCGCGATAGCGTTGTTTTGTTGTGTCATTTCCATGTTTTAACTGAAAATTGAACGAAAAAGGAGGGCAAAAGGTTCAGAAAGTGTGAAAAAGGAACAAACAGTCTGGGGATAAGTGGCTTAGAGTACAAAACTTATCGAGGAGATGTAAAATCTGCAAAAAATCCTAATAAGGCACATAGACCCTTATCATAATTTCATAATGAGGCACTTAGATCTTTTTACGATTTTCTGTTTTGAAAAATTTTTTCAAGTCCCTATAGAACTTACACTCTTCATTTGGGCAACATATCCAGCCAAAAATAAAAAAAATATTATAACTATCATTTACAAATAAATAAGGTATTTCATTCAAATGTGTATTTCGACCATAAAGAATTACCCTACAGACTCGCTCATCTCAAGTTTACTTATTTCATACGAACTAGTGTGGTTATGCTAAGGTTATCTAAATAACATCAATAAATATTCGTTTGTAAGAAGACACAGAAATATAGATTGTTGATCAAAGTGATAGGTTTTAATTATCGGACATCAAAGTCACACTAAAAACAAAAAAAATGTATCGCAGCATACATAATTATTTCTATTGGATTTATGGATGAAAAATAAGGTGTGATCCAAAAATACAGAATCAAATAACCGATTTTTTCCGCCTTTGATTTCCATGTGTGCAAGCAGACCGGCACCGAGTTTTATTGGATTTTTTATCGTGTCTGTTTATTGACAATACCTTCCTGGAATTCTATTGCGAGTAGCAGATTACTGTTTCTTCTACTCGCAGTACTTTCCTCAGGCGCAGGATGATTAATAATATTATTTTTATTACACCATAAAGCCGCTGAAGAAAGTGCTTTGACGGCTGAGATTCTGCAGAGATATGTAAGTATGACCATGCGAGTAAATTAACTGTATCATTTTCTTTCCCAATTAATCTTTTCAGGCAGTTAGTTGATAAAATGTGCAACAATTAAAATCTTAGTATTTTACTTTTAGATAGGAAACTCCATTCCAACGGAGATTTTGAGATGTCTCCTTACAGAGATGTAGGGTGTTGAAGTTAAAGTTTCTAAATAAAAAAATGTCTTGGGATTGGAATAAGATATTGACCTAAAATTTTGAACATATAGCACTGCCTCCAAACTTACAATTTTTTTCGTGTCTGAGACTACACCAGTGGCGGGTATACAATGAAAATGGTGAACTGGCGAGCTGTCAAAGGTAAGCCTTTTTGTATACATTGAGTCATTTATAACTCAACAACTAATCATCTACACATTATACGAGGGATGTCTTTTAAGTTTCGCATATAGAAACATAGTAGGTCGCGCGGATCGAACATCAGTCTGTCTCAAGGTACAATAAAAGGTAAGACACTCGGTTTGGACGAATTGGACAAACTTAGACGATTTTTTAAAGATGTTCCATATTTTATCATGTATTTTATAGATCCTTCCAAAATAAAAAATATATATAATATACATTTAGCATTCTGATGATCGTCCAGTTATCATTTTGGTATAACTGCCACTTTCACGCTAAAATATAGTACTTACCAATTTCAAGGCCACAAATGACATATTGCTATCTAGGTCCCTTCAAAACATAAATAGGATAGAAGTGTTTTTTTTTTGTAAAAGCTCTATATGTTGGCCAGCCTGATATAATTGTAATAAAAAAAGTGCGTCAAGTAGGTTGACTCTGCAGTACCTACGCCGCAACGCAGTCATCACTTCATAAGGTATCGGTGACGTAATATGTAATATTTTATTTAATTTCTCTACAACTTCATTCAAACTGAGATTGAAGGTTTGCTTGCAAAACATCACGCTTCCTTTCCTTCGTTGGGTTATCAAGAAGCTTCTGTTTAATGACCGCTATTCAAACAAGAAATTCTGTTTACTCGTAGCAAGGTGAAGATAACATCCCCCCAAAGTTCTGCTTTGATCGACCCCTGTTGTTGTCACAACTGCTGAAAACCAGATTGCTGAGGTTGTTATTAACATTGTTTTTGTCGGGTGCAAACGACTTGACAAATCTAACTGCCAGACATACTCCTCTACAGGGTGTTGAAGTTTTAGGAAAACAATGGAAATTAATTAATATTTTCAGAACCGCTTCAGATACCTCACTGATATTTAGTATGTAGTGAAAGTTGATAAAGTTGCATATTTTTCAATGCAAAAACAATTTTTAGCTTTAACAGTGGCGTACGTACGGGTATTGACTTCGATGTTTTTCAAGAAACAAATGGTACGCCAATGGTCTTTGCCAAATTAAAATTATTTTTGAATTCCCCGTTCAATTTAAAACAAATGATCTCTCATGAATTGTTTTTCTTCTATGCGTCATTTTTTAGTAAAAAAATGAAAACCGTTCTATTGTGCGAGAAAATTAATGTCATAATTGAAGAATGCAATTTAGCAACAAATACCTAGTTTCTCTGGGATATGTCCAACAAAAGTCATCCGTTCTCGAACTGTTTCGAAAAAGCTGGTCGCGACATTTGTGTCAAAAGCGGGTCATATTGCAACAATTCCTCTTAATGAGCAAAGGACTGTTACTGCGGATTGGTACACCACCATTTGTTTGCCAAAAGTCATCACCGAGCTGCGAAAAATCAACCCCGAAAGAAGAATCATCCTCCACCAAGACAATGCAAGCTCGCACACAGCTCAAAAAACAAGGCGGTATTTAACGGAAGAAAACGTGGAATCATTGGACCATCCTCCATATAGTCCCGATCTAAGTCCTAACGATTTCTTTACTTTCCCGAAAATCTAAAACAGACTGCGTCGTCACCAGAAGAAGCAGTTGACGCATTCAAAAATGCCGTTGTGGATCTGCCAGCAAACGAGTGGAATAAGTGCTTCGAACATTGGTTCGAGCGCATGTAGATGTGTATTAATCATCGTGAAGAATAATTCGAAAAACAATAAAGTCATTTAAAACTACCTACCGTGTTGTTTTATTTCCATATGCAAAACTTAAAAGACATCCCTCGTATATGTAAACCCGGTTATTACAGTTGTAAGTAGCGGTTGCTTTGTGGAACATCTGTTGTGTTGTACCCCTAACTTGTAATAAATACATCAACAATTTGAAAATAAAAACGTATAGTATATCTAAACCTGCAATAAAATGTGGGCCTTCGCATTTGAAAAAATGTATGCCTGGGTCATTACAAAGTTATGAATCACCATGTAGAGATATTTAGAAGTAACGAGTAACTCACCCTGTATGATAAACTAGAGGAATGTGAACAGGAAGTTGGGGCAGTTAGGCTTTTACATAATGGAAGTCCTGTTGTTCTAACAATGCGAGGGAAAACTTTTATTACCAATGTAATTTGAAAAGTCCGCTGAGGCGTATCAGAGTTATCTCAACCAGTTTCGAGGTAGCAGAAATTCCACTTCCTGGGAATCTTTGACAAGCACCTGTGATGGTGAACTCTGACCTGCTCTTGAATATTGGCCTATTATCTTTTGTTGGATACAAAAAGTATTGAATCGAAATTCAACAGTCAATTACCTGCAATACACAGAAGACCTCTCCAAAGATGTACGGGTACCTGCACCAGATCTTGTAGATCTCAGGAGGCAGCCCTGAGGTCAGCAACAGTAGGTCAGAAATGGCTAAGCTGAACAGGTAGTAGTTGGTAGCTGTATGCATAGACTTGTTCTTCACTATAACTATGCAAGTACTGACATTGCCGAGCACTCCGGTGATGAAGATGGACACGTAGAGCACTGTTATTGGCACTACTACGTAGAGAGGGTTCCGACGAGGGCCCCAGTCGATTCTGAAAATAATAAAGGTCAATTTATAAACCCAGAATTACATTTTTTGCGGATCAGATGCAGATCACTTACAATACATATCTCCTTGTAATTGACATTATTTAAATAAACTGAAAATATAACGCACGATCTCAAAGGAAGCCACGCCGATTGCAAACCGAAAACAAAACATATGATGCGATAAACAGAGCGAAAAGCATGCGGAAAAATATGTCGCAACAAACACTTGATTTGGGGGTTCCCTTTCATTGGTTGATTCGGGAACGTCAACTGAAGAAAGTCAAAACTTCTTCTATTCTAGGGTCAGCGTTATAAACGAACGTTGCGGACTTCCTGTTTATAAACAGTTTAACGTCAAGCGCATGATTGAAGTTCTACGTTACGACAACGGTATGGCAGTAAACATAGAAGCTTTAACCCTATCTAGGATAAGGGAACTGATGGTTCTATTATGCGTACTACCTCTAAGAATGAACTGTTATCTAAGATATAGAGGTTCAGATGTAAGCATTAATTTGTGGATGAAAATAAGATAATTAAACTTTACTAAATAGGGCATTTTCAACCATCATAAAGAATTAAACTTAATTGTGATATGATCATATCGCCTCTTGCCTTGCGCAACTGTTCTGAACAACCTGCAGTCTGTTCTTAGCTATGCCATCGAGGCAAGGGTAAAATAAAATATTACAATAAGTATGAACTGTTATTGTGACTTGCAGAGTTTTGTCCCCAATTTGAATCTCAGCGTATAAAAAAATTGTTTTTTTCTGTACAAATCTTTACCGATAATAATGGTACGCCACCCTCCCTCCTAGGCTCAGAGCAAAATTCGTTGCATTGAACTTTGATGCATTTATTTAAGGCAAGATTGTGTCATTTTGAAAATTAACAAACCCTTTTAATACCAAATTTCAATTTTTTTTTGAGCATCGTGGATATTATCTATATCAAAGTAGTGAAGTTGCTGCGTAGGATTGTATCTCTGAGTTTTTGACAATTCTTGGCAAGTCAGCAATATATAAAAAAAAGTAGCCGCCCAAAGACCGATCCATGACGTATAATTTTCTGAAAATTTGATGTTTTGGATATGCTTAAAGAAACACGTTGAGTATGATCTTCTAGGTAACTTTTGGAAGAACTATTCGCTTTTCGATGGAACGTTTCGTCTTTTGCCCTCCAGCATCAACTTTATTTTTTCTAAAGGGGGCCATGTTGAATTTTTACACAGATAAATAGAGTTTTTAATTCTGATTCAAAAAATATATAATTAACATTGCCAAATCTTAGATATTAAAAAAACAGAACTTTCTAGGTAAGCCTAATACCATGATTCCATTGATGATTCCGTCAGTGACAGTTGACTTCTACGTGACTTAATTCATCAACAATTACTGAGTTCAGGCTACTCAGTAAATAATTATCACATTCCATGGTAAGTACTGACAGGCCAGAGTATATCGTCTGCCTATTTGTTCTCGAAATCACAGATAAATCCCATTCTTGCCTTGAACGCTGAATCTACTTTACACATTATTTGCATAATAATGTTTGCCTTAAAGTTATAACTAGACAGCAAAAAGTGGAAAGTTCATAACGGTATCTTGTTTTTTGACAGCACTGTTTGTTATCCCAACCCCTGACCTTCTCGATTTAATGTATGGGCTGCTCCAAAGTTTTTTCCTTATGATATACATACGATTTTCTAATTACGCAATGAAAGTTAAGGTACGGTAAACAGTTATAAAAGCTGTTTCATCTTATCTCAAGAACTTTCTTAAAAAAGTTACTTCAACTCTCGGCATTTTCATCCTGAAAAGTCTACACTGGAACATGTAGGAAACTTTTACTCTGAATAAACTTCTATTCTCTTTGCTTGGCTTTTGATTTTTTTGTCTAGTTTGTCTAATCGACTTAATTAGTACATTTATATATTCATTTTGTGTCATACGAGTCACAAACTCTTTCAATACGAAAGATGCAAATATTACCTTCATAGATATGTTTGAGCAGTAGAGGCCCGTGGCAAAATAAAACAGGTGTTCTGCAATTCCGAACTTACCTATTTTTTATACGTCAGTTCGATCCTGCGCTCCTTCTTGGCAGCAAATTCCCACCTTCCCGTTGAAATTTTCCATGGTCGAAATAAATTTCTTTTCAATGGACAGCATCGACAACGCTGTAAGGCGATCCTAGGTCATAGTATTATGAAGAAAAGTCTTGATTCTTTTCAATGTTGAGAAATTTCGCTAAGCCTGTGATGTTTACATAAGAGTTGTAACAATAATTTCTAACAGCTTTTTTGTTTCTTTTAGTATTTCCTCCAAACTATTTTGTCTCAAAAATTTCAAAAGAGACAGAATTACATGTAAATCTCGGCAATCATTCAGTGCATAAATAACAGACAACTCTGTCTTTAAACGACTTTTTTCTAATTCGGGAAAAGCCAAGCAGGTAGTTTCCAACTTGTCATCAGGAAACTTATCACAGTATTCTCCAAAGTGTTCGGGGACAGAAAGGGATGCGGCTACCAGATGATCTTTGAATTGAAATTTGTCATTTGCAGAATTCACTATATTGTCGCATACTTCTAAAGCGGCAACCCGGAGATCGTGACTGCTATTATTACGTCGTCTCCTTTTGTTGCCTTGGGGTTCAGTGCAAATACTTTTGGATTCATTTATTATGTCATCAATTTTATTTCTCAAATCGACAATACACTTTTTAAAATTATCGATAGCCGTTTTAACTTGCGCTGGCTCGGTTTTTCTCTTCTGCAGCTGGTTGAAAAAGATGTCGACGTGAGGCATGACATGATGAAAAAATGTCAACCAAAACACGAAAACAGAATCGTTTAACATACGGCGAATACCGCAAGCTGCCTTGCAAACGGTTTCATTGGTGAAATTTTCTTCGATTTCTTCCATGCATTCAATGAGGGATTCTCCGTTCTCAAACACTACATTTATTGTTCGAATATTAAAATTCCATCGAGTTGTTGCTCCTTGGGGAATTTTTTCCCACAATTCTGTTCAGTACCTCTACGCGTTGAGGAGAATTATTAAAAAATCCCGGAATATCTTTCAAATCCCCAAAGAGCACCCGAACTTGAGCATTTGCGTAAGCAGCTTGGGACATAATCAGGTGTAACTGATGCGCATAGCAATGCACATAGTGAGTAAATGGATATCTTTGTTTAATTTTTGCCTGTACTCCAGCATTATGTCCGCTCATTACCGCGGCTCCATGATAGCTTTGTGAAATCAGTTTGTTACGGAAATTTCCTATTGATGGATCTACGAAGCTCAAAATATGTCTTGTGAGAGTATCAGCGTCACATTTTTCGGGATTCATATAATTCCAGAAACGTTCTACTGGTTCGCCGTTAAATACGTATCTAAAAATTGTTACCAGTTGGGTTTTCCCCGAAATGTCCGTTGTTTCATCTGCTATTATCGCCAAATATGAGGCTCTGTTAAATTGTTTCTGTAATCAGTAGATCGTTTTGTATTTCTTTCGAAGTTTCTTTAAATATTGAAGCATTTTTTATGTGTTCGCTTGAGGTTGTATCAAGCTCAGCAGAAAAATTAATCAGTCCATGAAATATTTCCAGGTTTTGGCAGCTCTCGGTTTCGTCGTGTCCCCGTAGCGCCAATTCAAATGCTCCGCAAAATTTTATACCGAGCACCGACCGACCAATCAGATATCGTACTTCGCATTAGATCTGTACGGATCTGTATAACGTGCAGCACATGCTTAAATGGCGCATTTGATTTTGTAGAGAGAGACAGAAGCAAGCGCGTGCGGCTTGTGTCGAAGTAGTGCGCAGAACCTTTTCAAGTGGCCCAAGAATAATGTTACGCTGCGGTCGCGACGAAAAATGATCAAATTACTACTGCTTTTTTTCTGTTAAGACAAAAGTTTTGGCAGTTCTGCAGCTCTGCAGAACTTAAGGGCCAGCCGCCCCTGTGCTTGAGTAAACAGTTTAAAAATAAATGATTGGAAGAAATTGTCAGTGCGATATTTGGGCTTAATCTAACTATAATTTTAATCTAGCAATAAAAACATACTCGAAATGGAATGTACTTTAGAAGGGACTAATTTTCAGTATTTTGTTAAAAAAACTGGCCTTAATATGACGTCGATTATTCTCATCACTGGGACTGTCAATTTGCAAATAAAAATTGATACAAATTGGAAGAAACGTGAATGACATGGTTTGAAGTTGATCGCATTTTTCCCTTTTGAGACTGGTTTATATTTTTGCTTATCATGGAAACGAAAAGGTATTATCCATCAAATGTTTTAACGAGTAGTTATACTTTTTTTTCAAGTTTGATAGCCGAGGGCCCTTCCAGAAGACCTTGGGTATGAAGAGCACTAAAGGTTGAAGTAGATATTTTAAATAATTTTTTTCTGTAAATAAACACTCAGTTTGGGATAAAATAGAATAAGCATTTTACATTGTGACAAATTTTATTATAAACTCAGAGGCTAAAATCTAGAAACTAAGTGCAAAATGTTTTATGACCTATGAAGAATTACGGAACACTGATGGATACAAGTACATGGAATAGTTTAATATGAATGTAAATACAAAACTATCACATTATTCATATTGCTTTCTGTCCAGCATATACTAAACTAGGAGCAGACCACGATGGTCCGCTCTCATTGGCGCTCGTCAGTACGGCTTGTGGAGTTTGTAGTTCGTCTACGAATACATTGTATATGAAACCGACTTGTCTCTAGAGTCTGCATCTTATTATGAGGAGTATTTTCATTCCTTGCGAAAGACGATATATGTTTTTATCTTACCCGTCCAATATCGGCAATGCCACGTCTTCTCGTACAATCACATCTGACAAATTC